ACTATGCTGCTAAGAAAAGTTATAGTCAGGTTTTCAAAAAAAGAGAGAGAGGGAGAGAAAGAAAAAGGCAAGAGTGTTAATTTATAACCCAGTTTTTCTCCGAGAGAGGTGAGTAGACTGTGTGAGATTACCAACCATTTAGCATAATTAGCTTAGCTACAGACTACTGTTTGCCTCCATTTCACTAGCATTTAATGAATTAAGGAAAATAAAAATTACCAACATATTCATATATTTAACTTGTTCCCTGTGCCTTTTATCACTTAAAAGATGTGAGTGAGTAGAAGCTCTAACCCACGTCCCTCCTGACCCGTTCTCTCCTGAGTGAAATTAAAGCTGCAGTGTGTAACTTTTATAAAAAATATTATTTTTTCATATTTGTTGAAACTCATTATGTTGTGACAGTTTGGTATGAGAGGTAATCTGTGAAAAATCTATTTCCTCTGCCTTTCTCCCAGTGCTAGAAACAACCAGTCACAGGCAGGAAGCTCATGAGACACCACATGAGATTGTGCTGTCAATCACAATCTCATGTGATGCTGCTCATTCTTCCTCCCCCTTGATTTGTGCTGCGCTGCAGTTAGCATAGAACAGGGCTGGGCAGAATCAAACTGTGAATGCTCAGTTTAGTTGGTATAGCTACCAACGACGGCGGTTTCTTGTAATGATAAGTTGTTTCTCCACCATTAGAACATTTAGCAGTGAGTGAATGAGGTTGATTGACAGCGCTAAGAGCGTCCTACTGGTTCTGATTGGTTGTTTTTGGTCAGAACGGTGCATTACTTTAGTTAACAATAGTAGTTCAGAGAGGAGGTGGAGGAGATTGATTCCACAGATTATCTTGTCCATAGCAAACCGTCATAACATGGTGACAACTTTAACAAATATGGAGATAGATTCAAAAAACTGTAACAGTAGTTGCACAGGGGGAGCCCAATTTAATTTTTTGTCATGGGGCCCAAGATTCGTGGCTGCGCCCCTGGGTGGTCATAATGTACCGCCTGATCCCTACCTTGATCAGCAGCGGGTCCCGCAGCATCGACTCTCTGAAGACGCCCAGCCGCGGTGATGCAATCATACCTGTGACGTCAGAGGCGGAAGCAGATTGTAATGAAACAGGTCAGGGGCACGTCGATAATAACAACACTATTATTATTAATAATATTAATGATGATAATACTGTAAGGAGCCCAACGCCGGTTCTAGAGGTTCTTCAGAGAAAACCGGGCCGAACTGAACCGAACTCTCTCTGCAGAACCCTGAAGAACCGGAACTATGACCGCCGCAGGTAGAAACAGCCGGAAATGGCTCCAAACTCACTTGAATTATTTATTTATTATTATTATTATTATTATTATTATTATTATTATTAATTATTGTGTCAAAATATCAGTAGAGACTTTGGGACAATGAAATGATACCGGAAGTCACGAAACAGAAGGAGAGCAAACTGATAAAACAGTTAAAGAGTCTTTACTGCTGCGGAGGAGGTCGAAGTTACTGCACAGTGTTAATAATTCAGATAAAAACTGATTAAATAGAGGACTCTTGGCAGAATATTTGCATTAATAAATATAAAATTTAGCTAGAATTAAAAATAGATTAATTAAAATGTGTTATTGTTAGCAGGGCAGATAATAAAGAAGGTGACAAACTACTGAGGATCAGAGACTGAATATAACTCACTTGAGTTCATCCGAGCTTCGTCCCTGCGACTGCCGTCGTTAGTTGGATGGTTGTCATGGTAACGGGACGCGGAACGTGTTTTTTTTTTTTTTTTAAATTTTAATTAGATTCCAAAAACAATTTGACAACACACACTTCTCAATAGTAAGCTGCAATTCAACAAGATGAACTGAGCAGAAAATAAATAAAAAATGAAGAATCTTTGAAAACGCAAATCAAGAAAACCGACAGAACTCGGTACCAGTGTGAATTTCAATTCTTAAATCATTACATTGGAATAAAGTCTGGCCTTCTGACGAAACGTTTAAGCGCTTATTTAAATATAATTAATCCACTTTGAAAACAGGTGACATTTCTAACGTGGCGTCAGGAGAAAGCAGCCTACAGAACCGACTGAACGTGGAGCGACACCTGAGCACGTCCCCCTTCCAGCCTCCAGGGGGCGGCAGCTAGCTCTACCGCATTCAGAAACTGTCGGAAAAAACGAATCTAATGAGATCAAATTAAGACCGCAGTGACGAAGCATCGTGTGTAAAGCTGACCATTAAGCTAAGAGGAAGAGAGAACCTCACTTCCTGGTGACTCTTCTTCCACATTCAATTCAGTTTATTTATGTTTAAGTTATGTCGCAACCAGAACCACCCGAACCACCGAAAACTGCTCCAACCCAGCTGGTTTCCGAACAGAAGAACCACTTCCGAGTTCCGCGAACGCAACACACCTGATACGTCAGTTTTGCGTCACATGAAAAAGATCGTTTATTGAGACATATGAACGACTTTGAGCTGAAACAAACAAAAAGCCCTCAAAACTCTCCATCTTCACCTGAGGACGAGAAGAATTGCGAGATGTTTCTGATTTTGACTCTCACTTCGGGATTCTCGGATTAAGGAAGTTACAAACAGTTACCAGTGGATACAAAGCAATAAAATATTAACAGGCAGATTTTCTTGGGACTAGTTTGTTGTTGATGAGATTCTACTTACTGAGGTTCACCTCTTAGACATAGGTATCACCATAACAACCAGAGGAGTTTAATCAGTGTAGCTTTTATTTAACTCGGATATTGATGAAAGCTTTGTCGCTTCTGCTCCTGCAGTTCGAGGCTGTTTCGTCTCCAGTAAACACATCAGAGTGAGACCTCTGCGCGCTCCCTCCCTCTTTGCAGCTTCAGAAGCTAGTGCCGCTGCGCTCATGTCTCCCCGGATCCAGCAACCGGTTCTGTTCAGAAACTTTCCGGATCCCTGACGGCCCAGCAAAGATGTTCCGGCTGTGGCTCCAGGCGGCGGGGCTCCTGTGGCTGTGCGGCGGCTCTGTGGGCGGCTCTGGGCGGCTGTACTCGGAGGAGGACCCGCTGGTGATCCTGGGCAGCAGCAGCCTGAAGCCCACCGTCACCAACTCCTCCTCGGCCTGGCTGGTCCAGTTCTACTCCTCCTGGTGCGGACATTGCATCCAGTACTCCAGCACATGGAAGGCTCTGGCTCAGGACGTGAAAGGTACCGGTCCACACTGCCCGATTCGGGCTCGGTCTGTTGTTCCGTTGGGAGCAGCTGCACCAGACTCCATTCAGAATTGCCTTTCATAAACTTTCCGTTAATCGTGGAAACAGCAGCAGGTGTTAAGTTGCAAACCGGTCCAGACCCGAACTGAGAAGCAGGTGCGGACCAGTTCGGCATGTTTTAATTTAAATTTGACGATTATTTCAAATAAAAGTCTGTCTTTGTTCAGCTGGCTTCAAACAGCGGCTATTTTGTTTTTACTGGAGTTCAGAGCTTAAAACTAAAGTTTTTCTAAGAGGTTTTGATAGGAACAGTTTTAGCTGACGCTAACCACGTGACCACAGTGTTGGTTAACCCGCTGCTGGTTATGGTGACAAACTGGGAGGGAAATCCATAGACATAATATAAGGATAGACCGTCATGGACCGCTCTCGCCTATTGTCGCTGACGAGAT